ACATCACCAAATATTTCCATTTAATTGATAGAAGGATTTTAGGATTAAGCAATTTTAACACTTTAAATTTATATCGGATTTATAACTAATATATTATAAAAATGATTACTAGTTTAACAATTGCCTTATATATAAACTTAATCTAGCCCACAGATTGTGTAACATTTAGCTTATATCAAAATGTAGCCATCATAACATTCTAAACAGATTCCTTTATGGCAAAGTTAACAGGAATGATCGCAATCATATCTACAAGCAAAACATCCATCTCCTCTTACTAAATTCCCATCATCACATTATTCATCTATAGTTTTTATTCCATCACCACAAATAGAAAAGCAATTGTTTTAAATTAATTGATAACCACGTTAACAAGTATAACATTTTATTCCATCAACTTAATCACAAACATGACAATAATGTGTTAAACATTTATAACAAATTGGATCAGAATCAAAAGAATTATATCCATTTTTACAATAGCATTAACCATTAGAATAAATACGGTTATGACTTTAATAGCATTCAGTGCACCATTGAGAGTTTGCACATTATTAACATTCTATAGGACAATCATAACAATAATTAGAATACTGATATTAATTGTTTTTGCATACACAACCTTATTTAGAATTTATAAATGATTCTTAACAAGTTAAACAGTGAAATTAAGATGAGCATGTTAAACATGTAGAGGGACATATAAAGCAATTTAAAGCATTTTTATCAAAATATTAATTACTATCGCAATCTGCTTAAGAAAATTTAATTATATTTGGATCGTAGCTATTATCCCATTATGTACAATCATTTTGACTTGTACATTTTTCACAATAAGGCTTACAATAATGTACTGCTATATAATAATTATAAAATCCACAATATGCATTTTTAGGTTCATTATTAGGCCCATAACATTCCCATTAAATAGTTAATGATGATGATGAATGTTGTATTCTTTCATATACTCTTTTTGTTTGAGATGAGCCCTTAAATGTAATAACAGGATTGTTTGATCCTATTGTATATATAAATTGACTATCTTATGGGAAGGATGGCCCAAATAATATATAAAATCCTATTGTTTTACTATGATGTGGTTTAATAATCTAATGCACCCTAGAAAATTTGGCTTAAGCCCAAACTAATTCACCTCCAAAAATTAGATTGATTCTTTCATTAATGTTCTGCTATTGTTTATGAATGCTTTGTCTATAAATCTTGTTTAAAGTGCCATAAATTGTTAGATCATAGCCATAATACTATTCTAATCATTAATACAACAAGTGCGGCAGATTTATTTATCAATGATGTTCATGAATTAATATAAAGAATTAATAGAAAAGATAATTTGTGAGATATCTAATTTTTTGGAATTAATATTTTTGCTATTGTTTTATTCATTATTGTTATTTGAGTATTTATTTAAAAACTTAAAATATATCGTGAAATCAATAGCTTAAATTTTTTAATATTAACTTAAATATTTGAGATTAAATTTTATCTGTAAAAAGCATGCTGATCAATTTTTAATATATATGTTATAATAAATAATATTAATTATTTCTAATATTTATTCATGTATTTATTTAATGAATATAAAAACATATATCAAAGATTATTTAATTAAATATTCATTATATTCACTAGATAATACTATTAATTAAAGATTACTTGAAATACTTGAAATTATGTATCTGTTTGAATGATTATTAATTCTTCTTTTTTAAAAAGCTATTTATAAATGGAAATTTAATAATGGAACCCAAAATTAAGAAAATTTTAACAATCATGCTTAAATTAGTATATTTTCTGAATGTCACAATCATGACAAATTTCAAAAAAAGAATGCCAAATTTTATTCAAACTACATTGTACATTAATCTTAAGTACAACAAAAGATGCTGACTAATTTATAGTTAAACTGTAAGATTCATATTTTTTAATTTTGAGAACATCACCAAATATTTCCATTTAATTGATAGAAGGATTTTAGGATTAAGCAATTTTAACACTTTAAATTTATATCGGATTTATAACTAATATATTATAAAAATGATTACTAGTTTAACAATTGCCTTATATATAAACTTAATCTAGCCCACAGATTGTGTAACATTTAGCTTATATCAAAATGTAGCCATCATAACATTCTAAACAGATTCCTTTATGGCAAAGTTAACAGGAATGATCGCAATCATATCTACAAGCAAAACATCCATCTCCTCTTACTAAATTCCCATCATCACATTATTCATCTATAGTTTTTATTCCATCACCACAAATAGAAAAGCAATTGTTTTAAATTAATTGATAACCACGTTAACAAGTATAACATTTTATTCCATCAACTTAATCACAAACATGACAATAATGTGTTAAACATTTATAACAAATTGGATCAGAATCAAAAGAATTATATCCATTTTTACAATAGCATTAACCATTAGAATAAATACGGTTATGACTTTAATAGCATTCAGTGCACCATTGAGAGTTTGCACATTATTAACATTCTATAGGACAATCATAACAATAATTAGAATACTGATATTAATTGTTTTTGCATACACAACCTTATTTAGAATTTATAAATGATTCTTAACAAGTTAAACAGTGAAATTAAGATGAGCATGTTAAACATGTAGAGGGACATATAAAGCAATTTAAAGCATTTTTATCAAAATATTAATTACTATCGCAATCTGCTTAAGAAAATTTAATTATATTTGGATCGTAGCTATTATCCCATTATGTACAATCATTTTGACTTGTACATTTTTCACAATAAGGCTTACAATAATGTACTGCTATATAATAATTATAAAATCCACAATA